AAAATTTGGGGTCATCACTCACATCTGTTCATAAAGGTTTCTCATTTTGCAAGAGTATCTTCCAAGATAGCAAACTCTCAAAATAGGAGCATAGGTACTAGAGCTGTGCTATATATATGTAATGTTAGTTCTCTGTAGGACTACGGAACTCTATTGTTAGAGAGAGGAAGAACCGCCCCTGGCTTCTCTCAGTGTAGGACATCTCTGCAACTTAAAATTTTAGAGAGTTGCTTGAAACAATAAGGGGGGTTAAATGACTTGCCCAAGGTCACAAAGTCAGTATGTATCAAAGACAGGCCTTGAACCCAGATCGTCTTAGCCCCAAGGCCACTTCTCTATCCACTATACTGTGTTGTCTTTCTGGTCCTTATAAATACATTTAAAATACGAAAAATTAAAATTGTAACTTTTCAGGAATATAGGCATTTTGTAAAGTGGTTATGTCTCTTAGGAATAACATGCATTTTAAGAAAGTGGGTTGTTTTTGTTTTTCATGGAAACAGTAATTAAGATTCATTCAACTAACAACATTTTTTTCAAAATATAGATATCGTCTTTCCAGCACTAGACATTCTTCGGTTGTCAATTAGGCATCCCGCTGTGAATGAGAATTTCTGCAATGAAAAGGAAGGTGCTCAGTTCAGCAGTCACCTCCTCAAACTTCTGAATCCTAAAGGAAAACCAGCAAACCAATTGCTCACACTCAGGACTCTTTGCAATTGTTTTATCGGCCAGGCAGGACAGAGGCTGATGATGTCACAGAGGGAATCATTACTATCACAAGCAATAGAACTGAAATCAGGCAGCAATAAGAACATTCATATTGCACTGGCTACGTTGACCCTGAACTACTCTGTTTGTTTACATAAAAACCATAATATTGAAGGTAAAGCTCAATGCCTGTCAGTAATCAGCACAGTCTTGGAAGTTGTGCAAGACCTTGAAGCCACTTTTAGACTCCTTGTGGCTCTTGGGACACTGATCAGTGACGATTCAAATGCTGTGCAATTAGCCAAGTCTTTAGGAGTTGACTCTCAAATAAAAAAATATGGCTCAGTATCAGAACCAGCTAAAGTAAGTGAATGCTGTAGGTTTGTCCTTAATTTGCTGTAATTGTTTTTACTATATGGGGACCTAAAGTTATGCCTTGATTAGTGCTTTTTTTTTCCATATTTTACATGACTGGATATAATTGAAAAATACTGTGGATGAAGTAAAAATTAAGTTCTGTTGAGTGGGAGGGAAAACAAATAAAAAACAATTTTTGCACTAATCGTAAACTGTGATACTTTCCTATATGGCTACGGGTGGATTTTAGAGTGTATAAAACAAATAAACATAAGGAAGTTTGGTGAAACAGTCATTTGTAAAAAACAAATATAGTGGATGTTTTTATCACTACCCAGTCAAAGAAGAATGAAAGGACTGATTTGGAAGGGTGTAATTTGCCTGTATTTTTCCTTTATATACAACACAGAATTATTTGGTGTTGGCTTTTTATTCTGGTGCATCAATTTTCATTAGCAGTTATCAACAATATTGATTTGAGGGCTTGAGAATACACATTTAAACTTTTAATTAAGTGCATTAAAAATACCTTTTACGTATTGGACAAGGGAGTGTGGTGAAGTGGAAAGAATACTGGCCTTGGAGTCAGGAGTACTGGGTTCACATTCTTTCTTGGAGACTTACTGGCTGAGTGACCTGGCCAAGTCTCATAAGGACCTTGAATTCTAATTTTCTCATCTGCTACATGGGTCTGATAATATTTATACTACCAGGATCAAAGGATTGTTGTGAAGAAAGCACTTTGTAAACATTAAATCGCTGTAGATGTTTTTTTTCGATGCAAATATGTGGAGCAAATCACTCAGTCTCATTATATGTGATGTATAAATTCAGATAAGTTTGGCATCTAACATGTTATTTGAGTACCAGTCCTACACTTCAAAGCAGTTTTCCCTGCCATTATTTGGAGTATTTGATTTTTCTCTCTAATTTTGACACCTGCTAGTTTATGCCAGGCCATCAGTTTATTCTAAATATACATTGAATTTTAGATGGCCATTGCTAAAGTTAATGCAATAGCTGATTATGGTTTGATGATGATTAGTCAAAGAAAGGTTAAATTATACTCTTCATGCCCATCCACATAAGCAGAGAAGGCTACATTTATATATTAGTGGAGAAAAGCTTTTTTTCTTGGTATGTTAGCACATTTTTTATTTTAGTTACAACTCGCATGCATTCATTTGTACATTCTTAGTATTAGAGAATTATGTGTCCTTGAACTATTTGTCCTGGCTGTCACAGATTTTTTTAATTGCTTTTTTAAACTTCATGAGGCCATTTTTGTTCTCATTTAATGAAACCACTGATGCTGTTTTTACACCATAGTAATTTTCAAGTGTTACCCAATTGAATGTGTCCTAGTGTTGAAAAATTGCTAAGTAAAAATGACCAGCTTATCCATAGTTCTGTTTCATCTTATTCTCTGGGACTGAGGTTAACTGTACATAAGCAGGTTTAGCACTGTTTTAGTATTTTCAGTTATCTCTAATAACTGGATATGTTTATAACAAGTTTATCTTTATAAAGTTCTTTATAGTTATGAAGCATTTTACATTCTATGTATTATTTGAGCCTTATCATACTTCTTGTATTATTCTGATTTTACAGATTAAATTCTATTCAGCAAACTTTAAGCACTTGTAAGTCCAGTACATTGTGCTAGGCAGTGGAAGATACCAAACTTAAATAAACAGAGTCCTTGCACTTGTGGAGCTCACAATTTAGCAGGCACACATCAAATAGAGGTACAAAGTGCTATGTGAAGTCCACAGTGGTAGAGACTGAAGTAAGCATTCATAGAAATTATTTGAGTTTGACTTTACAGCATAGGTTGGATTTAAACAAGAAAAGGTACGTGGAGAACAGCATGTGTGCTGCAGCAGAAACATGCTGTCTAGGTGGGGAATGTTGAGTTGTCCAGCTTAACTGGAGTACTGAAGAAGTGTGTAGATAAAAGGAGTATGAGATAAGGCAAGGGAGATAAAAGATTTAGAAGACCTTGAATACTAAGCTGGTAGAAAACCATAGAATGGCTTTGTGCAGATAGCATTGGTATAGCTAGATGAGCTAATGAGAAAGCACTTGTTTTGCGGTGTGCCAAGGGGATACAAATAGAAAAGTTAAGACAGTCCCTTATACTCAAGGACTTGAGAATTTGGGTGAAAATACTATTACAATAATCACCAAGTAGAGTTGGTAATGAAACCTTGGGATTATCAAACTGACAAGACTTGATATAAGAAGTGGAAGGGGGAAAAGTTAAAGGTAATCCCAAAGTTTGAAACATGAGATCCTAGGTAAATGGCAGTGTCACTGACTTAAATTTTCAAACCTTAAGTCAGGAGGAATAGGTTTACAAGATGAAGGCATATTTTAATGACGCATAATGTGAAGTTAGTACTGAAACCTAGTATTTGTGTATTGAAGGCCAGTGCTCTTTCTACATTAGACAACTGGTTGAACATATAAGCATGGTATTCACAAAACCATTCATTAACTAAAAGACGTAAGTAAAGTAGGTATGGTACATAATGTCATGTGATAAATAGGTGTGAATGTGTAGAGCTTCCAGAGGCCTTTGAAATTTAATCCAGTCTCACTTTATAAGCAGGTAAACTGGCCTAAAAGGGTGATTTGCTTAATATACCAGCATCGACAGTGGATCCTAGATTTAGAACCCAGATCTCTTGAGAACCCACTGCCTTTTTCCTTTATACATCATAGCCAGAATGGCACTATGTTTAGATTGCTTAGCTTTTAAATAAGATTATTATAATTATTATTACTATTATTTGCCTCTCCCATTAAACTTTAAGATCAGGTGACCTGGAAGAGAAAAAAAATGGAGGTATCTGAAGTTGATTGTGAGGGGGAGGGGCCATAAAGGATGAGGCTTGTGTTTATCAGGAACAAGAATTGCTATAGGCTGTGTATCCTGTACCCGAAGCATTTATTAAGCGCCTATCTTGAGCTAGGTACTATGTTAAACTCTGGTGATAGAAATAAGAGGCAAAAATAGCTTCTGAAAGGAGCTCACGTTTTAGTGGGGGAGACTACATGAAAACAATTATGTATAATATGTATACAGGACAAATTGGAGATAATCAATGGAGAGAAGGCACGTTAAGGAGGATTGGGGTAAGGCTCCTTGGACCAGGACGGAGAAAGTTCCAGGCATGGGAGCAGCCACTGTGACAATTTCAGAAATTGGGAGACTGGAGTTTCTTACGTAAGCAAGGGCAGTGTCACTGACTGTAGAGTACTTGGAGGTGGGGGTGGGGTGTAAGGTATAAGTGATGTACTCAACCTCTCATAACTGCATGAATATAGATCCTAAATTGGAATCCAGGTCAAATACGGATTCATTGCTTTTTTCCCTTTATACTTCACAGTCCAAATGACATTATGTTTAGATTGCTTACCTCTTAAACAAGATTTTTTTTGTGTGTGCCTGCCCCATTAAACTTAAAAAATTAGGTGACTTTGAACAGAAAAAATTCATGGGGGGGAGTGGGACCCGGGCAGGGAAGCGGGGAAGGGGGCGCGGGGGGCATAAAATGTAATTAAACTGGAAAGTCAGGAAAGGGCCAGATTATGAAGGGTTTTGAATAGAAAAAGGGCGATTTTGTTTTTGATTCAGATGGTGAAGGGGAGCCACTAGTTTATTGTGGGAATGGTGGTGACATGTTAGATCTCCGATTTAGAGAGATGATGCAGAGAAGCCAACCAGAAAAATTTCTCCCCACCCCGGTAAAGACAAATATCACAAAAACCCCTCGCTTCCTAGTCCTGCATTCCTGTGGGTCAGACCCAGCAGCACCACCACCAAGACCCGTCTTCCCTAGGAAGACCGCTCACGTCCCAGCGTGCCGCAGACGTACTCAAGCTCCCGGAAGTGGCGCAAAAGGAATGGAGCGGGGGCGGAAGTGGCGTCACACCGTTGCTCTGGAGGTTCTAGGTGAGCCTGTGGTTCTCTCCCCGCCGAGGAGCAGCGCTGAGGGAGAGCTGAGGCTTCGCGTTACCTGAACTCCCTCCGTCGAATGGTACCCGCGGAGTGGGCATGACGGGGAAGAAGTCCTCGCGGGAGAAGCGGCGCAAACGCGGCCGGTCGGAGACCGCGATGTCCACGGCGCCTATTCCGGCGGGAGGAGAGAGACGGAAGCGGAGAAGCACGGACTCTACGAGTCTCCCTCTTCCCCAGCCACAGGTGGGGCGGCCCATCCCCCCGACCCCCTCTTCCTAACCCCCTTCTGCAGCCGCGGAGCTCTGTGACGTCACAAGGATCCTGCGGGAATCCGGGCCTGGAGCCGGGGCTTACCCTGGTAACCTCCGCTCCTGGTGCTTCCTTCTCTCTAACATCTTCCCAGCTATCCTCCCTGCTTTTCTCTGTCTTTCCCCCATCCCCCCTTGGAGGAGTGAAGTAGCATCCCTGGGCACTTGTCACAGTCTTGGAGGAGTGAAGTAGCATCCCTGGGCACTTGTCACAGTCTTCATCTTCACACACTGTAATGATTAGAAATTCTCTTTCCCCTACCCTGTGCTAGCTCAGACATCCCACACCCAGTTACTTGATAGGACTTGTAGCCTCAGAGCCTTCGTCTCTTTACTGATGAGGAAACAGACCTCCCCTTCCCCAAATCTAATGACTTGCCCAGTGTCACACAGGCAGGAAGCAACAGATTTAGGATTTGAACCCAAGTTCCAAGCCTGTTCTTTCAACCATACTACCTCTTCTTATACTTAGGTGTTTTGTGCATTCTCCAAGGTCATCCTTAGCTCAACGTCCTGCACTTCCATCTTTAGTCTGAACATTGTTCACTTCAGAAATTCTCTGTCATACTCCCTATTATGCGGGAGCTAAATTTGGATAGACTATTGATATTGGGACTAATCTAGGTGACACTGGATAGAGTGGAAGACCTGGAGTAAAGGATGAGTTCAAATCCAATCTCAGACACTAGATGTGTCACCCTGGGCAAGTCACTTAACCTTATTTTCCTCAGTTTACTCATCTTTAATATGAGCTGGAGAAGGAAATGGCAAACCACCCCATTATCTTTGCTAAGAAAATCCCAAATGGGATCAAGAAGAGTGGGACACCAAAAAACAAGGAGCCTTTGTACCTTTTCCTGTTAGTGGTGTTAAAATGTAGAGATGAAACTTAGTAGCAGACAATACCAGAAGAGGTGTTTGATGTCTATCTCCTAGAAACCCATTGCACATCTATTGGTTCATATTCAGATATGTAGTTACTTCTTACTTCTGAGGATTGTAGCCTTTTAATAAATTAACATTTTACAGAAGATAAGTCTTAAGGAGTCTAGAGGAATTGTTTATGTGTTCTCCATAAAACTTAGTACTTTGTGAGTACCATGAAATAGTGTCACATACTTTCAGTTCAGTATTGGGTCACTGGTAGTTCATATTTTAGTCCAGTTGCTACTACTGAATGACAGAATAGTCACAGTGAAATTTCATCAAGAATCATAGAGCTGGAAGGGATGTTAGAGATCATCTTCACCTCCCTCATTTTACAGAGGGCAAGTCACTTAGTCTTTCTGTGCATCAGTTTCCTGTATTGTAAAATAAAGCCTTGAACTAGAAGCCCCTTTGGCTCCAAATCTAGGATCCTAAGGTATGAATCTATAGGCATTATAAAACTGTTAAAAGAGAACAAAACCAGAACATCGAAGTAGTCTCAGAAATCAAGCAGCATTTTATTTGGGTTCAAATGGTTGGCCAGTTTTTTAGCTAGTATACGAGGTAGGTATATTTAAGCTTCTCTTTGTATTCCCAGTGCCAAACATTTTAGTGCTTCCTAAGTATTTGTTGAATTGAATTGTTGAATTATTTGTCTGAAATTGCTTTCTCTAGGATTATCAGTTTGGAATGAATTTTAAAAGACCATTTATTAAGGACTTACCTATGCACCAAATATGGCTGAGCACTGAGGATACAAACACCTGCTTTCTCTAAGAGGGAGAAACTATGGGGAGTTGTGGCCAAGGAAGGATTATGTTGGTTTGGAGAGTTACTGGGGTGTTAGGTGGAACTTTGGGAGAATGGATTGACACCATTTTTCTATGAACAATGGTAGATTTCATTCGATTATGGTTCTAGGAGTGAAGAAGGTGGAGGAGAGCGGCAAACTTGTATGAGATTGCCGGTAAACACAGTGAATCTTGTCTAGAGCAGATCCTAGATGTGATCTAGAGGGGAAAAAAAAACTCTTAAAAAAATGATTTTCTGAATTACTGTATTTAATGAAGTATGGTTTTCTCTTTCACTGAGTATGCACCTCCCTTTTCTTTCTCCAGATTATCATCCCAGGGTGAATCAGTTCATCTCTACAAAAACCCCTACTCTCAAACTCTTATTCCTTTCTTCTTGCCTGTCACACCTTGCCAAAGGCGTATATATCTGATAGATATGTCTATCATCTGTCTCTTCTTATTCATGCTCTGCTGAAAGGAGTTGAAAGAAATCACTTACCTTCACTACAAATTCCTGTTATAATAATAATAGCTAACATACATATATATGTGTGTATATATATATATATATATATATATATATATATATATATATATTTATTTATTTATTGTTTTTTTAGTGAGGCAATAGGGGTTAAGTGAGTTGCAAGGTCACACAGCTAGTACGTGTCAAGTGTTTGATCTGAGATGGATTTGAACTCAGGTCCTCCTGACTTCAGGGCCAGTGCTCTATCCACTGCGCCACCTAGCTGCCCCACATTTATATATTTTTAAGGATTGCAAACCTCTTTACAAACATTGCCTTATTTTATCCACACTGCAGCTTTAGGAGGTAGGTGCTATTATCCTCATTTTATAGATGAGGAAAGTGAGGCAAACAGGCTTCTTGACTTATTCGGGGTCATATATCTAATAAGTGTAGTATAAGTCCAAATTTAAATTTAGGTCTTGTGCCTTCACTACAGCAAGATTCTCCCTAATCAGATTTGCTGTCCCACACTCTAATGGTGATTGTTATAAGCCTTTTTTTGTCTCTCTGTAAGTATTACATGGCATCTGCCTTTGCCCCCCAAATAGAGGCCATTCAGCCAGAACTCTTCTTATCTCATAACATTCAGATGTCTTCTCCCACTCTCTCTGTCTTCATTCCTGTCTCAGTTAAAGAGATGACTTTTCTCCTTGCCTAGGCCTACCACTCTACATGCACCCTTGATCACTTTCTCTTCTGTCGTCTACAATAGATTGGCCCTATTATCATCCCTACTCTCTGATCTTCATTCTTAACCTATCAGCTGGCTCCTTCCCTGATTGATGCCCATGCTTTCTCCATCCTTCAGAAATTCTTACTTGATCTTGCCATAATTATTGTCTGGTATCTCTTTTCCCCTTCTCAGCTAAATTTCTTGAGAAAGACATGAACTTCCATTTCTTTTCTTCTTATTCTCTTCAAAACCTTCTGCCATCTGGCATTCCACTGAAACTACTCTAAAATTGCCAGCAATTTCTAAATTGCTGAGCCTAATGTTCTTTTCTCAAATCCTCATCCTTGACTTATCTGTAGTTTTTGATCGTCTTAATCACCTTTTTCTCCTGGATTTTCTCCTCTCTAGATTTCTTTGATACTGAAATCCCAGTTCTTTTATCTGTCTGACTGTTCCTTCATAGTCTTCTTTTTTGGAATTTCATCTGTAACATTCTCACTAACCATAAGGGTCCTTCAGACGTCTGTCCTGTTCCCCTTTCTACCTCTACTCTCTCATTTGGTAACTTCATTTCCACCTTTAGGTTCCTTTATTATCTCTTTGCAGATCATTCTCAGATCTATTTCCAGGTTTAAACTCTCTCCTGAGCTCCATTTCTGTATCACTACCTGCCTTTTGGACATGTCCCTTAGGCATTTCAAACTCAACAAGTCCAAGATAGAATTCATCTTAATCTCTAGATCCTTCCCTCTTCTTAACTTTTCCTGTTTCTATCAGGAGCACTCTGATCCTTCCAGTTACCGAGACCTACAAGCCAGCTCTTGTTCTCAACTTCTCACTCTCAGGCTCACATATCTAGTCAGCTGCCAGATGGTGTTATTTGGTGGCACAGTGGATAGAGGACTTGCCTGAGTTCGGGAAAACCTGAGTTCAAATCCCACCTCAGACACTTACTGGCTGTGTAAAATGGGGATAATAATGGTACCTACTTTTCAGGGTTTTTTTGAGGACCAAATAAGGTAATAATTGTAAAGCACTTAATATAGTACCTGGCACATTGTTGTTGTTCTTCGGTCATTTTAGTGGTGTCTGATTCTTCATGACCTAATTTGGGGTGTTCTTGGCACAGATATTGGCACGGTTTGTCATTTCCTTCTCTAGCTCATTTTGTAGGTGAGGAAGCTGAGGCAAACAGGGTCAAGTGACTTGCCCAGAGTCACACAACTAGTAAGTATCTGGAAGCCAAATTTAGACCCAGGAGGATGACTCTTCCTGACTGTGACCCAGCACTCTGTGCACTGAGCCGCTTACTTGCCCCGGCACATGTAAGTGCTAGATAAATGTTAGCTCTTCTTCTCTTCTGCTTCTTCCTTCTACCTCCTCAGTTTTGAATGTGTACCCTTCTCTTCACTTGCATGTCTACCAACCCTAGTTCAGGTCCTCATCGCCTCTCGTTTGGCCTATTGCAATAGTCTCATTGGGCCTCCTGTCTTGTCTCCCTTCTTCAATCCATCCTCCACTCCACAGTGAAAGTGATTTTCCTAAAGTGTAGATCTGGCATGTTAATTTCTACAATTACCTTAATGTTCTGTTTTATCCAGGATAAAATTTAAAATGCTTCAGTGTTTAAAGTCCTAAATAACTTGACTCCTTCTTACCTTGACAGTTTTTTTACACTCTACTGTCATTTGTGAATTCTGTATCCAGCCTCTCTGTCCAAGTCTGGTCTACTTGCTGTTCCTCGAATGTGACGTTTCCATCTCCATCTCATTGTATGGCTGTCCCCATGCCTGAAATGCTTTCCCTCCTTCTCACCTACACACACACATATGTATATATACACATACATGTATGTATATGTATATCTATATATTTTGCACATGCCTATTTTTCTGTCCAATTTCAGTGTGAGCTTCTTGAGGACGGGGAACAATTTTGCTTTTCTGTATGTTTGTTGGCCAGTTGACTATTATAGTAATTACCTTCTTTGAATTTTTCTCATTCCAGTGGGAGACTTATATGTAGTTATGATGGTAAGGCACATCTTTAATTTTTTTTTATCCATTTAATTTTTTATTAATCCAGACTTGTGATTTTATAAGTATAGAGATCTCTTGGTCAGGAAACACCCTCTTTGATATGATATTAAAGCATATCAACAATTTGTGCCTTAACTAATCTAAATCTTTGATTTCAGGAAATGAAATGTCCATTGCCATCCGTGGAAAGAGAGAAAGAAAAAGAAGTAGAGGAGCCTAGTGACATTGAAGAAGGTGGATTGGACCTCACTGTATCACTAAAACCAGTTAGCTTCTACATAGCAGATAAAAAAGAAATGCTTCAGCAGTGTTTCTATGTCATAGGAGAGAAGAAATTGCAGAAGATGCTTCCTGATGTCTTAAAGGTGCTGAAATATATACTTTTTCAGACTCAGAGTACACGTGGATTGAATAAGCCTCTTGTTTTGAAAAAGTAAAAATCCTAATTTTATGTCCTTTTCCAGGAATGGATGGAGAGATACTGTTCTTGTCAGAATTGTGAGACCTTCTCTTACCCTGTTAAGAGTTTTTTTTCAGTAGGGCTCTTGAGGTTGGACAAGATTTAATCTTTCTGAGAAAGGATTTTTAAAACAAGTGCATTTACACATTTTGTTATGTGAGAATGGTTGTTTAAGAATGGGAATGAGAATGAGAATACATAGCTTTTACTATGTATATCTCAGACATCTATAGAACCCCTAGTATATAAAATATTTATCCAGAATGTAAGTGCTAGTGTAAACAACCTAAAATTGGTCATGGAATCCAGTGTACCCTGTACCATATTTTAAGAAATCAGTACCTTTATATAATTAGTTAATTAAGGATTGAGATGTACAGATATCATTATTTCCATTTTAGCATGTTTTGGAAAATACTAACATTTTTTTCACATATCAGGTCTGTATTTGCCAAAATTTCCACACAGAATTTCACATTTTTATGAAAAATACAAAATATTGAATTATAAATCCTTTTGAGTGAAAAGATTACTTAGTATGATTCTTATCCTGTCTTTGCCAGATTATGACGATAATAATAGAGTTATATAACTTTAGGCTCCAGAAGTGCTACTTACTTGCTGTGTGATGAAGACAATTTCTTTGTGCTTGTTCTTTTGCAAAAGTGGAGATAATCTGTCTCTTAAGTGATATTATAAATCTAACTATGAATCTCTACAGACTTAGCAAAAGAAAGATATTTTATAAATGTTCAATGGTGTTATTTTGAGGAATTGAGAACCAGAATTATAATCCTTTCAAGTAAAGGGAGATAGTTGTACTTCAAAGAAAAGTAGGAAGCTTACCAAGAAGAAAAAAATTTTGTTGCTGAGTGTAGCTAAAAATTCGTAATAAATGATAGTGCTAGATTCATATTTTATAGGCTATCAGAAGAGACAGTAACCTTAACATCATTTTTAACTTGGTAGTCATATTTCTTAAATGAAAAAAAAGCACATAGACTAAATAAATATTGTAAGTTAATTTTAAATCTATAATCCAAGGAAGTTAACTGTCCCCCAGATTCATAATTAATTCCTATAATTTGAAATAGTATGTATAATTTTAACCTTTTTTTTTGGTCTACTGAAGGGAACTCAAAGTCCAATTTTATAAAAGGTTATTCAAGGGTCATATAAAAGCATTATACTTACTGTTAAGATCTGGATTTGAGTCACAGTTTGGTCAAGCTGTGTTACATAGAGCACATGGAGGCAGTGTGGTCTAGTAGAAAGAAAATTATTAGATTTTGGGGTCAGAGAATATGGGCTCACATTTTACCTTTGCTGCTTACTACTTGTTTTAATTTTGGGCAAGTCCTTTCTCCTCTCTGGCTCTCTGTTTTGTCATTTGTAAAATTAAGAGGGGTGATTAGATTGATCTCTTAAGTTCCCTTTTATCTTTGAATCCTATAAACCTAAGTTTCTTAACCTCTTTAAGACTTTGTTTCTTCTGCAAAATGGGATTAACAGCATTTGTTATCTCACAGGAAATTGTTTATTAAGCTAAAGTAATATATATAAATGTGAGTTGTTATTGTTGTTATTATTTTCATCATCTTATATAGCTGTGGGGAATCATTTAAGCCTGAGTAGGCAAAAGATTTATACTTAAAACATATTATAGCTGATCTTCACCTCTAAATGTTATTAATTTGCATTTCACTGATTTGGAATTTGATAATTCCAGTTCAATTCCAAATGAAAAAAGTGGTTGCTGAATAAGTGAATATAAAGAAAATTCTGATTATACCAAAGTACATATACATTACCATTCACACCATTTTAAAGCATCACCTTAGTTACTATGACAAAATTTAAATACATCAACAAACATGAACATTTTAATATGCAAAGAACAGAAAAGAGAAATGTGTGTGAAACTCAGAATTTCTGTTACATAGGTTTTAAAGAATGTCTGTAAAATTTAACAGAGTAGTAAGGCTTGCCTGCTTTTCTATGTCCTCTTCTGAACCTCCTCTTCTCCTGTTTATTTGTTCAGTGTTTCGTTGATGCTTTTTTCTTTCTTTTTGTTTTTGTTTTTAATTTTTTTTGCATCACTATTATTACCCACCAACTTCCTCTTTCCTTCATATAGAACCTGTCTCATTACAAATATAGTCAAGTAAAGCAAGTCAAGACATTGTCTGTATCTGAAAATTATATCATTTTGCACCCCAGTCCTTTACCTCTCTGCCAAGAAGTAGGAAGCTTGCTTCATTAATAGCCTTGTGAAATCATGATTGGTCATTGCATTGAATAAAATTCTGAAGTCTTTCAAAGTTTCTTTCCCTTATTATCATTGTGGTCATTGTTCTAATTTTGTTCACTTTACTCGATGTGAGTTTACATAAGTTTCCCTAATTTTTTCTGAATACATCATATTTGTTATTTGGTTCAATAATACCCTAGTAAAAAACCTTAATCTGTAATTTGTTCAGCCATTTCTTGTTTGATGGGCAGCACCCTTGTGTTTCCAGTTCTTTGCTACAACAAGAAATGCTACTGTATGTATATGTGTATATGTGTGTGTGTATATTATATGTATGTATATAAATGTATAAAATATGTATCTTTATACTTATGGGCCTTTCCCTCTCAGGTGGCTGTATATGTTAAAATATTTGCAAGTTTCTGAATCTATCTTGATTTCTTCATGTACTTTAAAATAATGAAAATTGTATTTGTTTAAAAATGTTTGAGTGGCTTTACCCAGAATTTCCATTATATAAAAAGGCAATTCTGGAAGAAATAGAGATATTATATTTTTTCTTGAAAAACTATTATGTTCATTTCCATTCTAGAACCAAGTTTAGCCTCCTTTTTTGGTTGATGGAGTGAATGTTGAAACATTTATCAGGTGGATTATGTAAATGCAGGAAGGATCTTAGATATCTCCTAGTATGGGAATCTCCTCTACCAACATGGATCACAAACCATTTTTGACTTAGATAAGTCCTAGGGAGTTTCTGAGTCATATGGAGGTTAAGTGACTTACTTAAGGTCCACCAGCTAGTTACTAATTGTCAGACTTGGAACATGAACCCAAGTCTTTATGATTTCAAGTCCAGATCTTTAACTATTATGCCATGCTTTCTTTATCAGGTAACTTCCCCGTTGTACTTAGGGTTACTATTGAATGTATTGTAAATACATTTGATATTGAATGTGTCTTAATACTTACCCTTTTTCAGTTTGTTCTGTTACGGTAAATGAAGTTTTATACGTAAATGTCCTCTTGAAAAGATGTATCTGATTTTCACTATCTATTTAACACTTTTCAGATACTTTTTTCAGTTTTCGTGATAAGAAGTGGCTTATGTAAACCTCTGCAAGGCCTTAAATATGTTAGTCAGTGATTTAGCTAACCAGTCATTTATTTTAAGTAGTTTTCAAGAGTATATTGGAAGTATTAATGTATATTTGTTTGTCATTTTCCTTAGAACTGTTCACTAGATGAAATAAAAAAACTCTGCCAGGAACAGTTAGAACTCCTATCAGAAAAAAAGCTCTTGAAGATTCTTGAGGGTAAGACTGCATATATCTTTATTAAGTATAACTTATTATTACTTAGTTTGATATGAAAACACACTATTTAATATTCTCCTTATTACCTTTGATTTCAAGATGGGGTAAGTTTTAATATGCTTTCTTCTCCATGATAAAATATCAGTTATGCAGAAGACCTTCTGAGATTCAGTTTTTTTTCTTTCAAATTATGTATATACAAAATAGACTACAGTTTATATAAAAATGAAAAATTAATTTAACAAAAATTCTCTCAGATATACTTAATCAAAATGTCTCAGAAAAAAAGCAGCTGTTGAGAAGTTAGAAATTTAGCTCACCTTCATTAGCCTGGTACATACACCATGGAAAAATTATTTAACTTGAAATCAGAATACCAGGGTCTTGGCTCTGCTGCTCACTATCTTTGTGCTCTTGGGCAAGTCCTTTAACTTCTCTTAGCCTCAGGCTACCCATCTCTAAAATTGGTATTGATGCTACTTGCACTGTCCAGCTTGGAAGGTTGTTGTGAACTAAGTTCTTTAGTTCTTTATAAGCTTTGAAGAGTTATGTGAATGTGAGTTGCTACACTTAATAACCTATTACCTTGCTTTTAGTTATTTCATAAAATTGCATAATTATGTATCCCCTCTAATTTCAGTTATAATTGGTGACCTGGTCACGTAATAGTGGTATCAAAATTTTTTTTACTATTTTTTTACTATTACTACATTTTTTACTATTACTTATATATTTACTATTACTTATATACCCACCTACGTAACATTACCTTATTTGATCAAATAATTAACCATATATGCCTGACCTTCCATCTTTTATGGTATAAGTTTTATTTTGTCTGGAACTGAATTTATTAGTGGAAGAAACTCACTGAGGAAAATCCTTCTAACAGTGCCAACTTACAGTGTTAGAAAATTTCCTGGAACAATCTTTGTGTGATAGAAATAGGACCTTTACCCAGATCTTCATTACCCTGAAGCCAGCTTTTCATTGGCCTTTCATTTCTAAGAATCATGCCCTTAATCTCTTCATTTTCATTCCAAAAAATCCTTCTTGGAAGTGTATGGCAGTTTTCATGTTAGCCTTATTGGTCAAAGAAGAAAAAAATAGACGCTGAATTTCTAGAGATAATTTAATCAGGATAAAAATAATTCTTTTGAATACGACAACTTAGGCAGTATTCAAATATGTATGAATGTGTGCATGCACACACAGGAAATAAGCTTTAAAAAAAGACAACTAATTTATTAATAAAATAATTGACTTTTCAGGAATAATAACTTTAAGACAAATTTTCAACAACTGGAAAGTTCTTCAGTCTAGGTGCCCTCACCTCTTTAAAAAAAGGTAACACTTAAGTATATGAAATAAGGTCAATGGAATGTAGGCACAAATTTTCATGTAAATTTCATTTACTAAGGTGAGAATGGGATCGACTCTGATACGGAAGAAGAGGCAGATGATGGATCTAAGATGGGATCAGAATCAGTCAGTCAGTGAGTGAAAAAAATTCATTTTGAGTTATTTGTATTGTTTCATGTGAGTCTTTATAATTCTTGATCTGTAGCATGTAATTAATTTAGTAACATGAGAGAATTTATTGGCTTTTTGGCTTAATCCTTGTATTAATCCTTCCTGGATGTATGAAGAACAGTGTCAGTAGCTGTGGCTATCTAATCACAGTGCTTTCAACTTATTATCATTTTTAATGGATTTTGCTATTGCCTTTTTCTCCTCCTGTCATGTGGGCTTAATTTTGAAAAAGGAAAGTTTGGTAATGATGTTGGTTGACATTGTGTAGCCTAATTGTTACTCAAGTTGTAAATCAAAATTGAACATGAATGAGATTATCACATGTCATTCTTGTTTATTTATATATGGAATTTTTTTTTCATCTTAAATTCATTTTTAAATGTTCTGAAATAAATAGGTTGATACCATGTAAGTATAACTTTAAAAAAACACTCAACTACTTCGGTCTTATGATACTTTGTCTCCTAAGCATATTATATTAAGAATGCATGCTACCAAAATATATCATACCAGGCTACCTCTACAAAGTTAGAATTCTTAGACATTAGTGTTGTGGAAAAAGCAGAATGTTCACTGGAATGAAATCAGATGCACCACTTTTTGGGGGTTAGGTCTCTTACCTTGATAAAAATCAGTGTGAAAAAATAGATTAAAGAAGGGGTAGCTAAGCACTGGCCCTAGAGTCAGGAGAACCTGAGTTCAAATGTGGCCTCAGACACTTGCTAGCTGTGTGACCCTGGGCAAGTCACTTAAGCTTAGGCTGAAAAAGAGGAAAGAAAGAAAAAAATAGATTAAAGAACAGTTTAACTATCAAGATTTTAACCATAGAGTCACAATAGAATTTTGGAGTTTTGGAACTGGAATAGAAAGGGGAAGATACGTAATTCTGCACCCTTCACTTTAGGAGAAAACCAGCCTAGAAAAAGAGGAAGTTATTTTTCCCTAAAATCATATAACTATTTAATGGCAGAACCCTGGTGTCTTGACTATTTCATAGTGAACTTTCTGGTATACCGGGTTGCCTCAGAGATTTCAAATAAAAAACAAAATAAAAAACCCTCTATTTATCCCTGTAAGTACTCACAGTTTATCCTCAAAATCAATTTTTAGCTGGTGAAGGAACAGGAGGTTCTAAAAGGAAGTGATTAATAAATAATGAAATGTTTATTAGGTTTAGTGCTCATGATAGCCTAAAATACATAACAGTGTAATCACAGTATATGTGAGAAACACTGACTGGCAGGCAGCATGTCACTATTAGTCACGGTATTTATCATCTTTAAGACCTTTTTGCTGTATAATTATGATGCATAGAATTGTAAATATGTTAGATTTGAAATAATAAAAAAGTGGATTGTATCTAAAATGGACATTTTATAATTCCCAAAACTAAGAAATCCTGAATTATTTTTTAGTAATGCTCTTTGCTTTCCACCAATAAGAGCAGTTGTACCTTATGTTATTATGTTAAATTGCAAGATAAAGTTCATTTTCAGTTATGCTGAAGTTAAGAACTTTTGCAATAGCCTATACATATGACCTTATGATATGAATTACCAAATAATAAAAATAATCATTATTGTATTTCAAATATTTCTTTCCTATGAAGCATAATTTCCTGTCGTTAAATACTTAAGAGTTGTTGCACTTTTTACAACTCTCACTTAAAACTTGAAGTGGGATAGTATATAAGCCTTGGAGTAAGGAGATCCTGGTTTGGATCCTGGATTTGGTACATACTGTAGGCAAGGCTCCATGCCTCAGATTCAGGTCATAGTTTTAGAGCTGAGTTCACTTTGTCTAATTTCCCTCAAATGTAAAAGGAAGGTTAGGCCTATTTGTATTACTTTTCTCACAGGGGAGTTGTAAGAAAATTACTTTGTAAACCTTGAAATGTTATATAAATGTTAATTATTACTCATATCTTTTCCCAGCAGTCCTATGAATCTGATGAAGAGGGCTTTAAACTAGAAATCTAGGGGAAGGAAAAAAAGTCCCCATTATCTGTTTACTAAGCTAGATACCGAATGATTGATTATCAGGTACTATTCAGGAAGGTTATCAGTAGAGATGACCAATAATTCGCAAGAGATTGTTTAACTAAAGAGAGTTTGGTATAAACAAAAGAACTCCTCAGACTTAGATACACAAATACAACAAAATATGAATACTAGGGTAAATTAAGATGCAGCTATGGGTAGAAAGGTTTGGAGTTAGAAATCAGTCACTCAGCGAGCATTTCCTAAGAGCTTACTGAGTGCCAGAGACTGCTAAATGCTGGGTAAGACAAAAAATGAAACAGTCCTTGCACTTTGTGCTATAAGGGGAGACAGAGAGAGAGAGAGAGAGAGAGAGAGAGAGAGAGAGAGAGAGAGAGAGAGAGAGAGTGTGTGTGTGTGTGTGTGTGTGTGTGTACGTGTACATACCCAGCGAGGGAGGGAGGGAGGATGTTACTAGTTGAGATCAGGAAATGCATCCTGAAGGAGATGTGGCTTGAAGTGCGTCTTGAAGGGTTTCTTTGAGGCATAGTTAATAAGGGAGTTTATTCCAGAAATGGGTGCCTGCCAGTATGGTCAGACAATACAGTATATGAAGGAGGATGGATTGTGAAGGGTTTTAAAAGTCAAACCAGAGAACTCTGCTTTTTATCGTATATATCATAAGATGAACTAGATAATAAATATTAAATAAACTGGGGTTAATTATGTAAGGGAGCAACATAGTTAAATCTGACCATAAGGAAAGTTTTTTTGACTTATATGTGGAACATAGTAGAGAAGGGAGAGACTCAAGGCAGGGAAGCCAATTAGGCCATTGTAGTTGTTTAGATAAAAAATGATAAAGGGCCATGATAAGTAGTGGAGAGGTGTTGTATGAAAGAAGTGTTGTAAAGACAGGAAATGATGAAGAGTAACTACATTATGGTCCTTCCTCTGGTATTGATTGACTGAGTGACCCTAGACACGTCACTTAAATTTCTCTAAGGCTGTACTTAATGAGTAGGTACTGATATCATTGGTAGAGGGAATTTCCTCATGTGGGAGTTCCATATACTAATGAAATCATAGATCTGCCCAAAAAAAAAAATCTAAAATTAAGACTTATACCAGGAAATAATTTTGAACACAGTAAATGTAAGATTTAGGCAGGATCTGACACATGACTATAATATGACCCAGTTCAAAAGGATTCATATGGAAAACAAGGGCAGTAAATGACCATTGGACTATGATTACCATTGGACTACTTTACTTTCGAAATCTCTCCCAGTTCTGGACCTGTGATCCTGTGATCGTAAGGTATACCTCTGTGAAGAAATGCATAAAATATTGGGAAGGAAGTATGGAAGTGTGATATGCATTTGAGTTAGAATTAATGGAGGTAAAAGCAGGAAGTATTGTTGTGGGAATACACTGCAATTCTCTGGGCCAAAAAGCAAGGCCTTTAGGAAACAGCTTGCAAACCTTTCATGGAGGAAGGATATAGTACTGATTGGGGTTTTCAACTATTTGGATATCTCCTTGAGTTTATTATTTGTCAAAAGGAGAACACCTGAGAAATTCTTTACCTATTGTCAGTTACCATCAAAAAGTCCAGAAAAACTTGAGAGGTCTCACAGGACTGGAAACAGGCAAAAGTCACAATTTTCGAGAAAAGAAAAGAGGGCAGAGTCTTTAAACTAAACACTTAGCAGAATTCTAGAGTACATTATTAAAAAGCTGTCATGCAAGCATTTAGAAAGGAAAGTGAAGAGCCCAGCATTATCAAGAACAGGTTATGTCAGACTAAACTTATTTCCTTCATTGAAGGGCTTAAGTATATGGACATGCTTTTCCTTTCAGCAAAGCCTTTGACAATTTCTTGCTAGTTTAGTGGACCAAAGGGATGGAGAAAGATGGGTTAAGTTGATAATACAGGTTAGTTGGATTCAGAAGTAGTCTAGTGATTGGACGCAAAGAGGAATAGTCAAAGGTTCGATGCCAGTTTGAAGGCAGTGTTCTAGTGGAATTCTTGGGCATCTATGCTAGGCCTTGTGTTGTAGAACATTTTTGTCACTGACTTGGATACAGTTGTAAAAGGCATGATTGTCAAATTTGCAGATGATATAAAATTCATAGGGATAGCTAACGGATAATGTTGACAGGAATTTAGAATCCCAGAAGATATCAATAGCCTAGAATAATGGGTCAGTTCTAATAAGATTAAATTCATTTGGGAATTTGTCCAAGTTTTACACAACAAATCCTTTTTTTAAGGGAATTTGTTCTATGAAGTTTGGATTCAGTCAAAGGGCCACACCTGAGGACTCAGGTTCCTGACCCTGTGTTAAATGCAACAAAACTAAAACATCTAATTGTCTTTCCTCTCCAAACCATCTGCTTCCAAATTTTAATTTTGTTGAAGACAACATCTAATCTCACAGGTTCACAAACTGCATTATTATAGTTTCCTCATTCTTCCTTACCCCACATATTCAGTTAGTTAACAAAGTTCACCATTTCTACCACCAACATGCACTGTTTACTTATGTAACTACCATTTTAGTTCAGTCATAGCCTGTAATAATATAGTCTTCCTGCATCAAGATTCTCGTTTTTCCAGTCTATCCTTCATACTGCTGTCTAAGGAATTTGTGTTAAGACCTGATATGATCATGTGAACTCCCTTATTCAGTCAGCTCCATGGGCTTCCTGTTGTTTCTATGATAACATTTAAGCTTCTCTTTTGCTTTTGAAGCCCTGTGTAGTCTTGCTCCCGATCTCATTGGACATCATTCTCACTCCCACACTTAGCAATCCAGGCAAATTGGCCTCTGTTGTTCACATGGAATACTCTATCTTCTGTGTCTGCTTTTGTATTGGCTATTCCATGTGTCTGGAATATACTCTCCTTACCTCTGCCTCACAAAGTCCCTCTTTTCCTTTAAGATAAAATTCAGGTACCATCTTCTACATAAATCTTT